CGATGGCGATGGCCTCGAGGTATCATCACCTGACTGACTGACCGCTTTTGTAATGCAGAGCTCTTTATTTGGTTTCAACAGGGGCTCAGTATCCTTTCATTTTGGCTCGTCAGCGAGCTGAGTTCGAACTCAGCCATCGCCCTATTTTCTTAAGAAAGGAAAAAAGGTAAATACTAATGTACTAAATAATAAATATTCAAAATAAGGGGAGGGGGGGGGGGGCGGGGAAGAAAGGAGAGCGAACTCAGCTCTCTCTTTATTTTATTTGGGCCGAGTATCCTTCCAACAGCGAGCTGAGAGTTCAAACAGAGCTCTTTATTTGGTTTCAACAGCGAGCTGAGTTCGAACGCCACTCTCTCTTTATTGTATTTGGGCTCAGTATCCTTCTAACAGCAACCTGAGAGTTCGATCGTAGCTCTTTATTTGGTTTCATCAGCGAGCTGAGTTCGAACGTACATGCGTGTACCGTGCAGCCACATGGGCTCGCTCAGTATCCTTTCATTTTGGATCGTCTTTGACTTGTGTCTTTTGTTGTCGGCTGTGAAAATGCGCAGGCCTTGCGGTCAGGTCAGCTGCCGACGGAGTTGAGATTGAGTGGAGATCCCGGAGTGCCGAGACCCCCAATAGGTGGTGCTCCATTGCCGCCAATGCTAAACGCGGCTGTTGCTAGGACGCAGACACATGAAGGCGCACATGAAGAGGATGCAGACATGAAGGGGTTAGGTGAGGAGGATGGAGAAGAGGACAGGAAGGGGTCAAGACATGAGGAGGAGGAGGAGGAGGAGGAGGGTAGCGACAGTGACGTGGAGGAGGAGGGTCGACACCAGGGTAAGGGGGAGGAGAAGGAGGAGAAGGTAGAGGAGAAGGAGGAGAAGGTAGAGGAGGAGAAGAAGGAGAGGATAGAGGAGGAGAAGGAGAAGGAGAAGGAGAACGTAGAGGAGGGAAGAAAGGAAGGGGTGGAGGGGGGGGGTGAGAAGAGGGAGAAGGAGAAAGAGGGGCCTGCAGAAGAGTTTAAAGGGGTGAGAGAGAGGAAGGTGGTGGATGCKAGAGACGAGGACATGGAGGAAGCAAAGCATGTGGACAAGAGGAGAAAGGTTGCTGTCAGGGACGATAGTGACCAGTCTGATAGGGGGGGTGAGAAGAGGGAGAAGGWGAAAGAGGAGCCTGCAGAAGAGTTTAAAGGGGTGAGAGAGAGGGAGGTGGTGGATGCAAGAGACGAGGACATGGAGGAAGCAAAGCATGTGGACAAGAGGAGAAAGGTTGCTCTCAGCGATGATGGTGACCAGTCTGATAGTGAATCGTCGCTTTCAGACAGAAGCGACTCGTCAGAGGAAGAAGACAGCGGCAAAGCCGACATGCAAGAGGTAATGTCGAAAGGCTCGATTGATTTTGCTTCACTTTTTCCCATGCAATTCAGCTTGTGGTCCATGCGACCATTTCTTTTTCTTTTTCTTTTCTTTTTCTTCTTCTTTTTTAACAAAAAAAATGGGTCCATCTTGTAGTAGAGGGTGGATGCTAGGCCTCGGCAGGTGCCTGTCGGCATACGCAACCAGTGAGGAGATCAGATGGGCTTGCGTCAACCCCATGACCATTTCACGTCCTTCAACGTTTATAGGGGGGGCCTTCAAATCGACAGGTTGCACTGAATTGGAGGGTTAACCACTGAGGAGGCCTCCTTTCTTTTCGGCACCCTAGCTGCTCACCCTACGCCTCTTCCCTCTCTTTTTCTGGAAAACTGTGATACCTCTCCCCTCTGTTTTTCCGAAAAACTGAATGAACGTTGACTGCAGACGGGACCAGGTTCAAACCTGGTTTGTGCTGGTGTATCTGACGAAGTTTTTATTCCACAGGGATTGGCCCCTTTAATGACGTAGATAAGACCTTACGCCCTTCCTCGCCTTTTAAACCAACGGGACGCTTCCCACCCAATTTGTTCCAATGCGACAGTACAAGTGCTGCAAGCCTGCGACCTTTGGGGGTCAGGACGCCGAGATGAAAAAAAAATAGAGGCTGGCAGCGCCGGCCGAAATGAATCGCGATTCGGTGCGTGTGCTGGTTCGACAAAACTTAGCACTCGTCAGAAATCCAATCGGGAAAAAGAGGCTCGGTAGATATATTTTTTTTTTGAAACATAAATCTTTTTTCTTTTTTTTTTCCTTTCTTTTTTTTTCTTTTTTCTTTTTTTTTTCTTTTTTTTTTTAATTTAAGACCAGCCTTCGCCTGGTAGGAGGGGTGATGAGAGCAGCCTCGGCTACTATCGTCTTCGCCCAAATAGAATGGCCGGTCATTATACCTGTATTTGGCGCAGCTTCCAGCCCAGATGCAGCGATAACGGCCGAGCGTTCTATTTGGGTGAAGACGGTAGCTCTGGTGATTTAACGTATGATTACAGTGGATTATGTGAATTTATGTCCAATGGTACCGATTAACCTCCTTTTTTTTTTTTTTTTTCCCTTTCAATCTGATCCCTCATCCAATCGCTAAATGGATCTCTTCTCCCTGTTCTCTGACCAGATACGATGTTTCATTGGATGTCTTTATGCTGGAGGTCTTTTTGGATGTGGATGTCAGTGTTCAGTTAATGAGGAGAGGAGGTGGTGGGGGGGGGCGTATACGATGAAAGTGACCTGGACCTGGTCACCATGTATGTCTGCCTTCTCCCCCCCTTCCCTTTCCCAACCCTGTGTCTGTCTTTTGTCCCCTCGTACCCCGTGTATGTCTGATGGGCCAAAATTTCTGACGAGTATGTACTATGTTGGCATGAGAAAGTGACCTGAACCTGGTCACCTTGTATGTCTGCATACCTTTACGCAAGCAAGGTATGCAGTACGTTTCCCAATTGCTGCTAAAGTGAGGTAACAGTTTTCTCCTCTTTATTATATTTATTATATTATAATATTATAATTTATAAAACTATAAGTCTATATTCTTCTCTCAATTTCACCTTTCACTACCTAACTACCACTACTCCAAAGCCTAGACTGACTGAGGAAACGGCATTCTGATGGGCCAAATGTTTGTATTTGCGGTTAACAGGATTGAAGATTGGAGTCGTTCCCGAGTTCGAAAGGTAGAAGCAATCAAGCCAGCAAGCATGGAATCAGATCAGGAAAATGGAAGAGAGAAGAGAGCACAGATCCGTGAAGAGGCTTCCAGACATACGATTAGAGCAGCCTGCTTGCTCATGTCATCAGAATCTTTGTCCCGCAACGACAGCCGGCCAAGAAAATACTGATCTTCAGCGTTTTCTTCTAGCCACTCCTTTGGATGGTCGTCTACTGTGTAACCATTAGGAAGTGACTCGGACCTGCTCGCCATGTATGTCTGCGTACCTCCACGTCTACTGTGATTGTAACTCTGTACCTTCTGCTGCTGCTGTTTCACAAGACCTCTATTCTCTCGACAGGATGAACGGCGGATATCACGTCGCACCTTACCCCCATTTCATTGCCCCCCTCATAGTGCCCCCCCTCTTCCCCAGAGTGCCCCCCTCTTTTTCCTCCTACCCACCCTTTTTGTGGCTGCAGTGAAGAAGGTATGGACCTGGCCGTACACGTTGACCAGGTTCTCGTGAATGCCCCCCAACCATGTGTGTGGTGGTGAAGTCTAGTGACTCTAGTGAATGCATGTGATAGTAGGGTTGGCCTTATATTAGAGTTAGCAGCAGTTCAGAGTGGTGCTATGTCAGTGACAAGAAAGCATGCACCTGGCCGTCCGGGTTGGCCAGGTTCTTGATACCTTACTTGGCACAAACATAGCGCACCAGACGGCCTGTCCCTCAGTTGGCTCGCGCTTTATTTAGACGATCAGCCGTCATATGTACAATGTGCCAGAAGCGAATGGTGGATTCCATGTCCCTTGTGGCTCTCTTCTGCTTCTCATGCCCTTCTTTCACCAATTGGAGGGCAGCCTTAGCGAGCCAAGTGAGACAGGATCAAGTCCACATACAATGCATCAATCAAGAGCCCCGGCCCATGAGAAGAAAGTGAAATGGGAGGAAGGTCGGTCGGAGAGCCCGGAAAACACAAATGACGGTTCTGGCCGGAGAACAGGCATCCGCCACAGAAAGAAAAAAGGAGATGAGGGAGAAAGAAAAGAATGAGGTAGATGGAGAAGGGAGGGGGGTTAGGCTATTGGAGGGGGGAAGGGGGTTGGGAGGGGGGGGGGAGTGAGGACGAACCATGGAACGGAAGGAGATGGGGGTGCAACCACCACAGGAGAAGCGGATCGACGTGTCAGATTGTGAATTTTAAAACAAGAGTTTGTGTCCCGTCATTCACCTCCCGCATGAAATCTCCGGTGCACGGAAGTGAAACCAGTGAAAGTTGGCGTCAAGACCGTTATCCAGCGAATAATGAGAGGTGCAAGTCGGCAAATGTAGGGAAAATGTGTAGGAAATGTTTTGCCTGGTCTATCTGGTGGGAACAAGGCATGGATGAAGGAGGGAAAGACAGGGGGGAACGGGACGGAAGGGGTGGGGGAGGTGGAGATGTGGGAGCGGGGAGGGTGTGAAGTTGGCAGGGAGGAGGGATGGAGATGTGGGAGAGGGAGGAAGCCACAGACAAGTGGACAGGCGGGAGGGATGGCAGACCAGGAAGGCAGGAAGACGACCGTGGAGACCGAGAAGGGAGACAGGTAAGGCGACGAGGAGGGAGTGAGGGGCCTCTGATCTGTTTGTGCAGGTGGCAACACGAGCGAGATAGGCGGTGTGCTATAACTATAAGGAATGCAGAGGTAGGTTAAGTTTTTTTTTTTTTTTTTTTTTTCATTTTAAGGTTAGCTTTGCAGCAGGAACGAACGAGAACTGTGAGAGTTCTGCGATATGCCAAAAGAATCTGGAGCAGGTGAGGTGGTTGCAAGTTTTCCCCAGTTGTAGTGAGAAGGGGGCATGTGCGGGGCATGTCCCCCCCTCCCCCTCCCCCTTGAGTATTTCTTTTTGAGGATTTCGGACATTTTAGTTGACTCTGAGGTCCTGACTCTCCCTCTCCCTCATTAGCTCAACGGTCCTCTCGAGTACGCGATAGGGAAGCGGCGGTTTTGACTATTGATTCGCCTTCAGCAAGCTGACACACGGCTACCTTGACCCCTTGGTTCAATCGATCAAGGGCCTGTAACTTTGGTTGGTTCAATCGATCAAGGGCCTGACTCTTTGGGCTGTTGACTCCCTTTTGCTTGGCTTCCTTCACATATGTAATTTCAGGTGTGGAAATGGTTGTGTTGCTCTTCATTGGTTGGTGATTATGGTAAAGAAGATGTTTTGAGTGTGCTGTCAGAGAATCATCAGCATGCTCGCAGAATTCTCTGAGTATGCTCTCAGGGATTCTCTCACTCTCTATTGACCTCAGGCTCTATGTTCAGGCATTCACAAAGAGCTCTGTGTTGAGGGTGTGCTTGTTTGTGTTTGTGTGTGTGTGTGTGTGTGTGTGTGTGTGTGTGTGCGTGTGTGTGTGTGTGTGTGTGTGTGTGTGTGTGTGTGTGTGTGTGTGTGTGTG